ATATGACATCAATAATAGAACAGACCTTCCGAACTTCCGGACTTTTTGGTTCAGTGGACCAAGTAATGATGCGAGTGATGGCGAGTCTCATGTCACTCGTGTTCATCAGGTCATCTGAGGTCATGGTCAGTATCAACTCTTGCATGTAATTAAGTAGGGCCTGTTTGTTCTGGGGTTGATGTTTGTGAGGTGTGTGTGGTATGTGTGTGTGTGTGTGTGGTACATAGCGTCTTTGTCATATGGTGTTGTGTTGTTGTTGCTATATAGCTTTAATGTGCAGTGTTGCTTTTATGTGGTGCTGTGTTGTGTAGTGTGTTCTGTTGTTGCTACATGGTGTTGTGTGGTGTCCCTGTGTGGTTTTGATCAGCATATGGTGCTGTCTTTTCATGTCAAATAACCCCTTACGCCCTATCTAACCCCACATCCACCCATCCATCCAACCAATCACCCATCCATCCAACCAATCACCCATCCATCCAACCAATCACCCATCCATCTAATGACACATCCATCCAATGACACATCCATCGGTCTAATCAGATGCCAGCTAGATGAAGAACAATGGAAAAAATGAATGTGTGCGCGCGCCTAACCTTGATACTCAGCATCTGAGACTGGTCGACAATGTACTTTGTTAGCACCGCAAATTGCTGCTCTCCAGGCAGCAGTACCCTTTGTAACATCAATTATAAATTATAGCATTATTATTATTTATGAAAATTCTAGTGGAAACAAATTAATTATAATAAAATTAATCATAATAATAAACAGTAGTAGTAATAATAATAAATCTAGAAAATTTCTAAAAAAGTTGAATACTTTTGACCAGACTAGTCACATAACGCCATAACATTATCAACACCATCCCCACATCATCATCACCATCATATAAACTTTCCTATAATCATATTATAGTTATATCATCATCATCCTTATAAATATCATCATCATCATCGTTATAACCATCATCCTCATCCTCACTATCATCATCATCATCGTTATAACCATCATCATCCTCACTATCCTCACCCTTATAATCACCATCGCTATCCATCATCATCATCAACATCACTATCATCATCATCACTATCATCATCACTATCATCATCACTATCATCATCATTATAAACAGCAGCAGCAACAACACCTGATCAGATCAAGACATTTGTGTATTTTTTCTAGAATGGAAGGAGATAATTCGCTTGAAAGTTTGCTCAAAAGTTGAGGCAGACATTTATTCAGCCAGTTACCTAGAGAAATTATTGAAATAAATGATGCTCATTCAAATTTAATCTAGCTATCTTGTATGAAACAAAATGAAATAATACTATACATCAAATCGATCGTACAGTCAATTCACAGAACAACGGAACAGATCCCTCATGGACCGCCAACTTGAAGTCCAATCATGCAACCGGACATCGCTAGCAACCCGCAACCATTTGGAACTGCACTTTTGAAGCACTCTGCTTGCAGTTGCACAATCGCAGTTCGGTTATTATTTGACGTGAGGTTAGTCCAGTGCAGTAAACACTCTTCAATTTTTACATGTTTTAAAAAACTACAATGGCCAAAAAATTTCCCGCTTACAGCAATCAACGATTATGTTTTGAAAGCAAAAAAAAGCTAAAACGCAAGTTGCAAAATGCGGCCTTTAAAATTTGGTGCCTCTCTACTATTTTAATGTGCTTCAGGTGCTGCTAACTTTTGTTAAGTCATTAAAATTAACTTGATTTTCTGTCGGGGACATTTGTGCAACCAACAACAACAAATATGCAACCAACAACAACAAATATGCAACCAACAACAACAACAACAAATATGCAACCAACAACAACAACAACAAATATGCAACCAACAACAACAAATATGCAACCAACAACAACAAATATGCAACCAACAACAACAAATATGCAACCAACAACAACAGCAACCAACAACAACAAATATGCAACCAACAACGGCAACCAACAACAACCAAAACAAACAACAAAAATCTACAAACCAATATCAGTTTTGTGAGCAGACAAGAGGTTTGCAAGAGCATCTAAGAAGACTGAGAAAACCTTGCTGTTAACTTCAAAGAAGAAGCGTGTGAATGTGTTCAAGACTTGCTTAAGCTCTTGTTGGCTGGTTGGTGGAAAGATTAAATAAATGATTGATTCACCAAAACATTAACTGATCAACCATTCAAGCATCTATTCATCCATCCACCCATTCACTGATCTACCAATTCATCATTCATCCATCCATCCATCACACCATTCGTCTCATCAGCCACCCATCATTAATTCACATATCCAAAATGCACCTGAGGTACTTGTGACTGTGGAAGAAGTCGATGAGCGTGAGGAGGGCATTGATCCTCTCCTGCCAGCTGGAACTCGACATGCTACGAATCATGTGACTCATGTCCTGCAATGGGTAGACATAATGTAATCATAAGGCGATCACGTGGTTAAGAAAAATCACATGTGATTATGAAGTTGCTACATGGTTTCGAAGACGTCACGTGATTATCAAGTTGCTACATGGTTTCGAAGACGTCACGTGTGATTATGAAGTTGCAACATGGTTTCGAAGACGTCACGTGACTATGAAGTTGCTACATGGTTTCGAAGCCGCCAGGTAGTTGTTAAGACGTCACACTATCGTAAAGTTGTTAGGCATTTATGTGGTCATCTAGTTGAGTGGTCATCACGTGACTGGGTGACCATGTGATCGTGAATTGTGTTCGTGAGACTACGTGGTCACTAAATGATTTTGATTATTAAAACTAGCCTCAGAGTTGTAGGACTTTGAAGAGTTGTCTGACGAGCCATGGCTGGATGTCTCGCTGAGACCATCCTCTTCCATGTTGTTTGTGTTGCCGTTGTTGGTTTTAGTGTTAACATAATTATTTCTGTTATAATTGTTATTGTTGTTGATACTTTTATTGCAGTGTTTTAGAACTCTGCTAGGAGGTTTCTGAATGAAAAATATATAACGACAGATAAATTAACACAAACTGATAAGTGACCGGGCCAATCAATAACATGAAATTAATGAAAAATATTTCAAGTTTTATCAAATCTGTAACAATCTAATTAACAACGAAACAAAGAATAACAAAAAACTAAATAGACCAAAAAATGGATCATCAGCAAACCAGCACCATGGTAGTACCATAATTTATGTGATGTGAGATAATGAGATAATGCTAATAAGATCCAGAAAACATCAACAACAATGTAAACACGATAGAGAGAGAGAGAGAGAGAGAGAGAGAGAGAGAGAGAGAGAGAGAGAGAGAGAATTTAAGAAGAGAGAGAAGAGAGAGAAAAAGAGAAAAGAGAGAAAGGAAGAGAGATAAGACAGAGATCGAGAGAGAGCCAATTCTAACCCCAGTAGCAAAATTATCAACATCTTCAGATGGTGCCATGCTGCTCCTAATTGGCACCCTCATTGCTGGTACCGATTTCCTCTTCTTGCTGATATCTGATGCGTTCATCATGTTTTAAATGTCAATATCAAAATGAAGCTAGAGTGTGTGTTCAGTAATACATAATAACTACTCGGTCGATTCAAGATACTATATATCTATCACAAAGACCTGGACATCCATTGCCAAATTAAACATTTCCATTAGGGTGGAGTGAAAAATTTTTTTTTCGAAATTTCAAATGCCTGTGTTGTCAAAAGATGTCTTTTAGGTCAATTAATAAATCACTAAAATTTAAACCACTTTTGTATACGTCTTGAGGTTCCTCTAGGCTCCTTTAGATTTTCACTATTAACACAAGTAAAGTCTCGACTATTAACGTATAAAAATGGTCGATTCTGCTCAAAAATACTACACAGTACACAACATCTCCTAAAATTCTTGATTATGCTTAGCAACAATGAAAACTAATATATAAATCTGAAACAATTCAATTTCATTTGTATGCACATCTCTAATTTTTGCTAGATTCCTTTTCGCAGTTACCATTGACGACCAAACTGATTTTATACTTTTTTTTCAAATATAAAATGCCTAAAACACGTAAAGAATTATTTTGTGAAGTTTTTGGTTTACCTACTGATTTGCTAGGAAATGTCCTTCCTACAAACTCTGACGTAATGAAGTGTTATTTGTGGAATAGGAATTTGCTAAAAGAAAGTGCCAATGGAAAAGATCCTAGCGTAAATAACATTTCGCGACTTATTTTAACCGAATTAAAACAGATCTGGCAAAAAGCATCAATTCCAATCATTTCAGATCAAAGAATTTTAAGCTGATAGCAAATCTGAATCAAAAATATAAATCAATAAAAAAG